CTCTCTCTCTCCTCTCTCTCTCTCTCTCTCTCTCTCTCTCTCTCTTCCTCTTCTCGCCCTCTCTCTCCCGCTCTCTCTCTCTCTCTCCTCTCTATCTCCTCCTCTCTCTCTCGCCTCTTCTCTTGCTCTCTCTCTCTTCCTCTCACTCTCTCTCTCTCTCGTCTCTCCTCTCTGCCTCTTCCTCTCTCCTCTCCTCTCTCTTCTCTCCTCTCTCCTCTCTCTCTCTTCCCTCTGCTCTCCTCCCTCCTCTTCTTCCCCTCTCCTCTCTCTTCCTCTTCGATGACCGACCACCCCCATTTGATTATACTTCATACATCTGTCACTCTACACACATACCCTGTTTCTTCGTATATTTGCAAGGGCTTGACCTAGGCCTGAGCCCTTCATGTGCGATACAATACTAGAGCCCCTTTAACCCAGGTTACTCTATCTTCATGTACAACTGCATTGTGCCTATACTTTACCATAGTATATACTGTGCTATACCAGTAAGGAACTGTGTACTCTTAGGCACTGAAGCCATTATATGTGCTGTTATTACTAAGTACCTGAGGGAGTCTCTCCATTTACCTGGTTAGCTGGTTTGAGGTCAGTTCCATGTCAATTCAGTCAATTTTGGCAAGTAAGCTTTCAGTTTATTTACATTTACATTTAAGTCATTTAGCAGACGCTCTTATCCAGAGCGACTTACAAATTTGACTTCCTGAATTGAGTGAATTGAAATGGAACTGACCACAAACACCCTGGAGTTTATGTAGCCAATGTGGAATGTCTAGCTGGATAGCTACAGTGAGGGAAAAAAGTATTTGATCCCCTGCTGATTTTGTACGTTTGCCCACTGACAAAGAAATTATCAGTCTATAATTTTAATGGTAGGTTTATTTGAACAGTGAGAGGCAGAATAACAACAAAAAAATCCAGAAAAACGCATGTCAAAAATGTTATAAATTGATTTGCATTTTAATGAGGGAAATAAGTATTTGACCCCCTCTCAATCAGAAAGATTTCTGGCTCCCAGGTGTCTTTTATACAGGTAACGATCTGAGATTAGGAGCACACTCTTAATGGGAGTGCTCCTAATCTCAGCTTGTTACCTGTATAAAAGACACCTGTCCCAGAAGCAATCATCAATCAGATTCCAACTCTCCACCATGAACAACCAAAGAGCTCTCCAAGGATATCAGGGACAAGATTGTAAAGCTACACAAGGCTGGAATGGGCTACAAGACCATCGCCAAGCAGCTTGGTGAGAAGGTGACAACAGTTGGTGCGATTATTCGCAAATGGAAGAAACACAAAATAACTGTCAATCTCCCTCGGCCTGGGGCTCCATGCAAGATCTCACCCCGTGGAGTTGCAATGATCATGAGAACGGTGAGGAATCAGCCCAGAACTACACGGGAGGATCTTGTCAATGATCTCAAGGCAGCTGGGACCATAGTCACCAAGAAATCAATTGGTAACACACTACGCCGTGAAGGACTGAAATCCTGCAGCGCCCGCAAGGTCCCCCTGCTCAAGAAAGCACATATACAGGGCCGTCTGAAGTTTGCCAATTAACATCTGAATGATTCAGAGGAGAACTGGGTGAAAGTGTTGTGGTCAGATGAGACCAAAATCGAGCTCTTTGGCATCAACTCAACTCGCCGTGTTTGGAGGAGGAGGAATGCTGCCTATGACCCCAATAACACCATCCCCACCGTCAAACATGGAGGTGGGTACATTATGCTTTGGGGGTGTTTTTCTGCTAAGGGGACAGGACAACTTCACCGCATCACAGGGATGATGGACGGGGCCATGTACCGTCAAATCTTGGGTAAGAACCTCCTTCCCTCAGCCAGGGCATTGAAAATGGGTCGTGGATGAGTATTCCAGCATGACAATGACCCAAAACACATGGCCAAGGCAACAAAGGAGTGGCTCAAGAAGAAGCACATTAAGGTGCTGGAGTGGCCTAGCCAGTCTCCAGACCTTAATCCCATAGAACATTTGTGGAGGGAGTTGAAGGTTCAAATTGCTAAACATCAGCCTCGAAACCATAATGACTTGGAGAAGATCTGCAAAGAGGAGTGGAACAAAATCCCTCCTGAGATGTGTGCAAACCTGGTGGCCAACTACAAGAAACGTCTGACCTCTGTGATTGCCAACAAGGGTTTTGCCACCAAGTACTATGTCATGTTTTGCAGAAGGGTCAAATACTTATTTCCCTCATTAAAATGCAAATCAATTTATAACATTTTTGAAATGAGTTTTTCTGGATTTTTTTGTTGTTATTCTGTCTCTCACTGTTCAAATAAACCTACCATCAAAATGATAGACTGATCATGTCTTTGTCAGTGGGCAAACATACAAAATCAGCAGGGGATCAAATACTTTTTTCGCTCACTGTATATGTGCGCTAGTAGAATCCATTGTTGACATCACCCACTCTGAGACCTTCAGTGCCTTCAGAAAGTATTCATACCCCTTTAATTTTTCCACATTTTGTTGTGTTACAGCCTGAATTCAAAATTGATTAAATTGATTTTCTTCCTCACCAATCTACACACAATACAACAAAGTGCTAAACCCCATTATGACAAAGTGAAAAGATGTTTTTAGATTTGTTTGCAAATGTATTGAAAATAAAATACAGAATATCTCATTTACAATACAAGTATTTACACCCCTGAGTCAATACATGTTAGAATCACCTTTGACAGGGATTACAGCTGTGAGTCTTTCTTGGTAAGTATCTAAAAGCTTTGCACACCTGGATTTACACATTACTCTTTTTTTAATTCTTCAAGCTCTGTCAAATTGGTTGTTGATCATTGCTAGACAGACATGTTCAAGTCTTGCCATAGAATTTCAAACCGATTTAAGTCAAAACTGAAACTTGGCCAACATTCACTGTCTTCTTGGTAAGCAACTCCAATGTATATTTGGCCTTGTTTTTTAGGTTATTGTCCTGCTGAAAGGTGCATTTGTCTCCCAGTGTCTGTTGGAAAGCAGACAACCATGTTTTCCTCTAGGATTTTGCCTGTGCTATTCCGTATCTTTTATTCCTAAAAATGTCCCCATAACATGATACAGCCACCACCATGCTTTAAAATTTGAAGAGTGGTACTCAGTGTTGTGTTGGATTTTCCCTAAACATAACACTTTGTATTCAGGACATGAAGTTAATTTATTTTACTTTAGTCCCCTATTGCAAACAGGATGATTATTTTATTCTGTACAGTCTTACTTGTTTTCACTCTGTCATTTAGGTTAGTATTGTGGAGTAACAACAATGTTGTTAATCCATCCTCTGTTTTTTTCTATCACAGCCATTAATATCTGTAACTGTTTTAATGTCACCATTGGCCTCATGGTGAAATCCCTGAGCGGTTTCCTTCCTCTCCGGCAACTGAGTTAGGAAGGACGCCTGTATCTTTGTAGTGACTGGGTGTATTGACATACCATCCAAAGTGTAATTAATAACTTCACCATACTCAAAGAGATATTCCATGTTTTCTTTAAACATATGTCAAGAGGTTCCCTTCTTTGCGAAGCATTGGAAAACCTCCCTGGTCTTTGTGGTTCAATCTGTGTTTGAAATTCACTGCTCGACCTTACAGATAATTGTGTGTGGGCTACACAAATGAGGTAGTCATTCACAAATCATGTTAAACACTATTATTGCACACAGAGTGAGTCCATGCAACGTATTATGTGACTTGTTAAGCAGATTTTTACTCAAGATATTTCAGATTTCATTTTAAATTAACTTGTAAAAAATTCTAAAAACATAATTCCACTTTGACATTATGGGCTATTGTGTGTAGGACAGTGACACAAATTTTTTAAAATTCAGGCTGTAACACAACAAAATGTTTAAAAAGTCAAGGGGTGAGAATACTTTCTGATGGCACTGTAGAAGTAGCTGTTTCCCTGGCTTTGCAAGGGCCATGGCTTTTGTGTCGTTACAGGAAACTCTGAAATCCTCTGAAATCGAGGGGTCGTTGTGTTTTTGGGAACAGAAGGTACACTACATTACCAAACGTATGTGGACACCTGCTCGTCGAACATCTCATTCCAAAATCATGGGCATTAATATGGAGTTGGTCCCCCCTTTGCTGCTATAACAGCCTAATCATGAAAAACAACCCCAGACCATTATTCCTCCTCCACCAAACTTTACAGTTTGCACTATGCATTGGGGCAGGTAGCGTTCTCCTGGCATCCACCAAACCCAGATTAGTTTGTCGGACTGCCAGATGGTGAAGCGTGATTCATCACTCCAGAGAACGCGTTTCCACTGCTCCAGAGTCCAATGGCGGCGAGCTTTACACCACTACAGCCGACGCTTGGCATTGTGCGTGGTGTTATTAGGCTTGTGTGAGGCTGCTTGGCCATGAAAACCCATTTCATTAGTTATTGTGCTGATGTTGCTTCCAGAGGCATTTTGGAACTCAGTAGTGAGTGTTGCAACCGAGGATAGACTATTTTTACGTGCTACACGCTTCAGCACTTGGCGGCTCCATTCTGTGAGCTTGTGTGGTCTACCACTTCGTGGCTGAGCCATTGTTGCTCCTAAACGTTTCCACTTCATAATAACAGTACTTACAGTTGACCGGGGCAGCTCTAGTAGGGCAGAAATTTGACAAACTGTCTTGTTGGAAAGGTGGCATCCTATAACGGTGCCACGTTGAAAGTCACTGAGCTCTTCAGTAAGGCCTTTCTACTGCCAATGTTTGTCTATGGAGATTGCATGTCTGTGTGCTCAGTTTTATACACCTGTCAGCAATGGGTGTGGCTGAAATCCACTAATTTGAAGGGGTGTCCACATACTTTTGTATAATAGTGTACTTGGTTTGTGTGTGTGTGTGTATGTGCATGCATGCGTGAGTGCGTGTGTGTGTATTGGTGAATGTGTGTGTGTTCTGCTCTCACCCTTTAATGCCAGTGATGAGGAAGACCAGGTTTCCATTGATCTTGGTACAGTTGGTGAACTTGTCTATGTTGCTGGAGTCCACGGTCTGGGCTGACTGCAGACTGGCTGTACCTATACCGTCACAGGCTAAAACAGACAAGAAGATGAAGAAGGAGAAAAGATTACTTGGTCAAAATGTCCACAAATGTTCAAAGGAAACAGGTGTTCTACTTTATTCCAAGCATTTCAAAATACGTCCAGTACACTCACACACAGAGGTTGGAGAGGTTGGAGCAGTGGGTAAGCGATACTCATACACAACCACAACCACAGCACAAACACAGCACAACCACAGCCCAACCACAACTACATCCAATCAACCAGATGAACATACTGGATGTGAATGACAGTGGGATAAGGTCCAGGACAGTGCAGGATTAGGATACCTTTTGGACAGATATCAGTGCAGGCGATGCACATCTTAATGCGGTCATCTTCTACTTCCATCTTGTTGCTGGGACAAGCCCTCACACAGGAGCTGTGGTCCACCACAAAGTTATCTGGAACAGCATACACAGAGTTAACCATAGTATGTGTCAGATCAATTCCAAGGCAGCGCCCACTGGGAAACATGTTATGGATGTAATCTGGGGTAGGAACAAGTCGAACGATAACAGACTCTCACACTCTGGTATTGATATATGAAGGGACAAGTACTACTGTATGACTGACTGCCATGGAGCTATACTGTATATTAATGTCTACTTTATGCTTGTGAGACTTGAAGGCAGTGAATAGTAGTGAAACGTTTCCACTGCTGCTGTGCTCCTGAAGGTGACTCATCTGATTAAAGACGTTCCTTGTCATCTTCATCTTGTTTTATTGTTCTCTCCAGGTGAGACCGTATTTGCTCTACTGCTTTGGCTGGAAGGATTTCTGATAGTCTGAACTGAGGAGGAAGAGTTTAGGGACACACAGACACATCAAATGATTGCTTTGCTCGCAGCCTCAGGCTTAGAGATGGACACCTAAACTACAGGTGCTTCGTCAGGGGTCCTTGTGGCAGGCCATCTCCAGAATAACATAGTATAGTGGCCCTACGGGGCCTGGTCAACAGTAGTGCATTAGAGAATAGGGTGGAGAGGCTAGCAGAGCGCCAAGCGGAAAGCCAGAGCTACAGATCAGAGCGCCTAGCACAGTGCCGGGCACATGCCCCACTTCAAAAGACCACAAAAAGACTTGACTGCTAAAAAAACGTGTTAATTATGTAACTTTCTTCTCACTCTGCGCCCCTTCCCCTCTCCCTCCCTCCCATCCCTGCCTGCTGCCCTGCCCTCCCAGTATCCCAGCCTCTTTGTCTTTGTAGGGTTGTATCTGGCATGTGAGCCAAAATAACTCCCAACAGTGTCTTGAAATCTGTACAAAACACCCACTCATCCTGGCTATTTAAATCAGCACTGTGCGGAGAGAGGAGTGGAGAGGAGAGTAGTGGGGAGAGACAGGCCATTTAAATCAATGGAGGAAATGGCTGCTTTAAAGGAAAGGGAGGATGAAGGGGAGATGTGAAGAGGGTGTTAAGTAGAGATGATCAATGAAGTTTCTCTCTGTGTTCTTCTGGGGAAAAAAGAGGGTTGAGAAATGAATCAATATCCTGAGGCCCTTGGTAGTTCATGAGCATGACCAGCCTGCTCTGCACAGCTAGTGATGATATTTCAAGGCCTAGGCTGTTTGAATGGTGTCCTTGTGAACTGTGGCGGTTCAGTGTTTATGGCAAGGAGAGTGTTTGTGTGTCGGTGTGTGTTATGTGTTCAGAATATGACAGAGCAGTTTATCTTCAGGGCATTTGGTATGTACAGTGGGATCCGAAATTATTGACACCCATGATAAAGATAAGCAAAAATGACAGTATAAAATAAATAATTCAAATACTGAGCTATATTGTACTTGGTAAAAAGTTAATGATGCCGCTGAACTTAACAAGGGCCCCAGGACCAGTGGAAGCAAAATAGCCCCATAACATCAAAGATCCACCACCATATTTTACTGTAGTTATGAGGTACTTTTCTGGTCATGCGTTCGTTTGCGTGGCCATAGAGCTCTATTTTCATGTCATCCAACAAGTCATAACTCAATTGTTGGAGTTTTCATTTATTTTTACATGTATTGAAAGCAGTACATGTATATGTATTTTACATGTATTGAAAGCTCCCCCCAATGTACTATGAATATTTAATGACTCTAAGACCAAGCTACCAGTGGAAGCAAAATAGCCCCATAACATCAAGAATCCCCACCATATTTTTACCATATATCCAACACCACTGGTGTGGCCAAATAGCTCATATTTGTATGTTCGTTAATGACAAAATATGGAGAAAAAAAATCAATTCCCTGAAAAGTTGAGTTTTGGAGATAAGAGATTTTCATCAGACAGCAATGAAATGTAAATGCCTGGAGTTTGCTAAACGGCATTGGCACTCTCATTGGAACTGGTGCTTTGGTCAGATGACATAAAAAAGAGGTCTTTGGCCACACCAGTGGTGTTGGATATATGGTAAAAATATGGTGGGGATTTATGATGTTATGGGGCTATTTTGCTTCCACTGGTAGCATGTACAGTTGAAGTCGGAAGTTTACATACACCTTAGCCAAATACATTTAAACTCAGATTTTCACAATTGATGACATTTAATCCTAGTACAAATTCCCTGTCTTAGGTCAGTTAGGATCACCACTTTATTTTAAGAATGTGAAATGTCAGAATAATAGTAGAGAGAATGATATATTTAAGCTTTTATTTATTCTATCACATTCCCAGTGGGTCAGAAGTTTACATAAACTCAATTAGTATTTGGTAGCATTGCCTTTAAATTGTTTAACTTGGGTCAAACGTTTCGGGTAGCCTTCCACAAGCTTGCCACAATAAGTTGGGTGAATTTTGGCCCATTCCTCCGAACAGAGCTGGTGTAACTGAGTCAGGTTTGTAGGCCTCCTTGCTCGCACACACTTTTTCAGTTCTGCCCACAAATTGTCTATAGGGTTGAGGTCAGGGCTTTGTGATGGCCACTCCAATACCTAGATTTTGTTGTCCTTAAGCCATTTTGCCACAACTTTGGAAGTATGCTTGGGGTCATTGTCCATTTGGAAGACCCATTTGTGACCAAGCTTTAACTTCCTGACTGATGTCTTGAGATGTTGCTTCAATATATCCAAAAAATTGTCCTTCCTCATGATGCCATCTATTTTGTGAAGTGCACCAGAACCCCCACATCATGATGCTGCCACCCCCGTGCTTCACGGTTGGGATGGTGTTCTTCGGCTTGCAAGTCCCCCCTATTTAATCCAAACATAACAATGGTCATTATTCTCCAAAAAGTAAGATCTTTGTCCCCATGTGCAGTTGCAAACCGTAGTCTGGCTTTTTTGTGGCGGTTTTGGAGCAGTGGCTTCTTCCTTGCTGAGCGGCCTTTCAGGTTATGTCGATATAGGACTCGTTTTACTGTGGATATAGATACTTTTGTACCTGTTTCCTCCAGCATCTTCACAAGGTCCTTTGCCGTTGTTCTGGGATTGATTTGCACTTTTCGCACCAAAGTACGTTCATCTCTAGGAGACAGAACGCTTCTCCTTCCTGAGCTGTATGTTGGCTGCGTGGTCCCATGGTGTTTATACTTGCATACTATTGTTTTTACAGATGAACGTGGTACCTTCAGGCGTTTGGAAATTGCTCCCAAGGATGAACCAGACTTGTGGATGTCTACAATTGTTTTCTGAGGTCTTGGCTGATTTCTTTTGAATTTCCCATGATGTCAAGCAAAGAGGCACTGAGTTTGAAGGTAGGCCTTGAAATACATCCACAGGTACACACGTCCAATTGACTCAAATGATGTCAATTAGCCTATCAGAAGCTTCTAAAGTCATGACATCATTTTCTGGAATTTTCCAAGCTGTTTAAAGGCACAGTCAACTTAGTGTATGTAAACTTCTGACCCACTGGAACTGTGATACAGTGAATTAATCTGTCTGTAAACAATTGTTGGAAAAATTACTTGTGTCATGCACAAAATAGATGTCCTAACCGACTTGCCAAAACTATAGTTTGTTAACTAGAAATTTGTGGAGTGGTTGAAAAACAAGTTTTAATGACTCCAACCTACGTGTATGTAAACTTCCGACTTCAACTGTATGTGTGTGGTTTTATTCTGATTTCACAGATGTTTTATGTCCCCTTATTTCACAAAAGTATGTGTGCTGTATGTTGTTGTGTGTATGTTATTCCTTACGTGGGCACTTTTTGACACAGAAGGCTCCGTAGGTGTACTTGGCTCTGGGGTTGCTTTCCAGCTGGAAGGTGGTGGGGTTGTATACATGGGGCTGGGGGCACTGGGTCACACATGCCCCGCTGTCGTTGAAGTTGGTGCAAGCCTGTAGATGAAAGTATGCGCACACACACAAACATACATATTAGTACGGGGTGGTCATGGAAGAGAGAATGTGAGAATGCTATTCATTGACTACAGATCAGCATTCAACACCATAGTGCCCTCAAAGCTCATCACTAAGCTAAGGATCCTGGGACTAAACACCTCCCTCTGCAACTGGATCCTGGACTTCCTGATGGGCCGCCCCCAGGTGGTAAGGGTAGGTAACAACACATCTGCCACACTGATCCTCAACACGGGGGCCCCTCAGGGGTGCGTGCTCAGTCCCCTCCTGTACTCCCTGTTCACCCATGACTGCATGGCCAGGCACGACTCCAACACCATCATTAAGTTTGCCAACGACACAACAGTGGTAGGCCTGATCACCGACAACGATGAGACAGCCTATAGGGAGGAGGTCAGAGACCTGGCAGTGTGGTGCCAGGATAACAACCTCTCCCTCAACGTGACCAAGACAAAGGAGATGATTGTGGACTACAGGAAAAAAAAAGAGGACTGAGCACGCCCCCATTCTCATCGACGGGGCTGTAGTGGAACAGGTTGAGAGCTTCAAGTTCCTTGGTGTCCACATCACCAACGAACTATCATGGTCCAAACACACCAAGACAGTCGTGAAGAGGGCACGACAAAGCCTATTCCCCCTCAGGAGACTGAAAAGATTTGGCATGGGTCCTCAGATCCTCCAAAAATTCTACAGCTGCACCATCGAGAGCATCCTGACTGGTTGCATCACCGCCTGGTATGGCAACTGCTTGGCCTCCGACCCAAGGCACTACAGAGGGTAGTGCGTACGGCCCAGTACATCACTGGGGCCAAGCTTCCTGCCATCCAGGACCTCTATACCAAGCGGTGTCAGAGGAAGGCCCTCAAAATTGTCAAAGACTCCAGCCACCCTAGTCATAGACTTCTCTCTGCTACCGCACGGCAAGCGGTACCGGAGTGCCAAGTCTAGGTCCAAAAGACTTCTCAACAGCTTCTACCCCCAAGCCATAAGACTCCTGAACAGCTAATCATGGCTACCCGGACTATTTGCACTGCCCCCCCACCCCATCTTTTTACGCTGCTGCTACTCTGTTAATTATTTATGCATAGTCACTTTAACTCTACCCACATGTACATATTACTTCAATACCTCAACTAGCCGGTGCCCCCGCACATTGACTCTGCACCGGTACCCCCCTGTATATATAGCCTCCCTACTGTTATTTTATTTTACTTCTGCTCTTTTTTTCTCAACACTTTTTTGTTGTTGTTTTATTTTACTTTTTTATTAAAAATAAATGCACTGTTGGTTAAGGGCTGTAAGTAAGCATTTTGTCACGCCCTGGCTCTGGGGACTCTTTAATGTTGAGCCAGGGTGTGTAAATGTCTATGTTGTATTTTCTATGTTTCGTTCTAGTTCGTGTTTTCTATGTTGGCCAGGGTGGTTCCCAATCAGAGGCAGCTGATTCTCGTTGTCTCTGATTGGGAGCCATACTTAGGCAGCCGGTTGGCACCAGAGCATATGAGCGGAGTGGAGCGGTGAGAATCTCAGCTCCTCGCTCACGGAGCTGTTCACCCCTCCGCTCCCCCCGCTCAAAGCCACATCAGGCCAGTCCGCTCATTATCGCTCAGCGCTCAACGCAGTTTGCATCGCGCTCCACTCAAATCGCCCCCCGCTCACTCCAAAAAAGGAACAAAATCTGCATGTATTTCACTTTTAGCTTAAACCACAGCCTTACTTTATCTCCCCGAATTTGTTGCATACAGACTCATCTCGGATTATCCATTCTGTCTTGAAACGGGGATCTAACACTGACGCTAAAATGAGATGTTAATCAGTATAGTATATTCCATAGCGAATTGACACGTTGTTTGCCAATGTTTCTGCAAAAGCAGCGATGCCCATTGGAAGTGCAGCGTGAGTGTAATCGGTGAGCAGGGATTTGATTTCTGTGACAGCAGGGAGGATCATCCCCAGGTTCCCCAGCTCCTTCTGCATTTTGTCTGTGAGGTCTGCTAGTGGTGTCAGCACACTGACAAGGTGCGTCAGCTGCCGTACTTGATTCAGGGTGATGTTAGCAACATTAGACTTGAGTTTGTTTTACCATAACGGGTCTTTTTGGAACAACCGGATGAACGACTGAATCATCCGCAGCTGGCTGCTCCATCGAATGGCGCAGGCATTTGTGGGGCGGACACCTAATTGGTCGGTTTCCTCTGTGCTCTTGCGTACACTTTTCACCAGGTGCCCGACTTTCACTAACAGCCTATTAATGTTGTCGTGCTTGTTAACGGCGTTTTTGATCGCCAGCTGAAGCATGTGAATGGGGCATCTCAGATGTAAATTTGACAAAGTAAAGTACTAATTTATCATAGTTTCTTGGGGGGGTGTAGCCCGGTTGAGCTACGCTGGCGAAGTGTTGCATCCCTTCGCGTTCTCCTTTACTCAGCGGTTCATAGTCCATGAAAATCATTTCAAAAAATGCTACATCCAGCTCTCTTTTTCTCTCCCTTGTTATGGTTGGGCCTTTACGTGCAGTGAATAAACTTTTGAATTCCTCAACCCTTTTCTCTTGTTGCTGCTGCTGCTCCTCTCGCTCTATAAAATACAAATTCATGGACGACACAAATTAAATTAAACAGATGGATTCTGGGTCAGGCTTGAGCATGCTTCAGACTCGTGGTGTGAGCGAGCGAAATTGGAGCGGGACATAGAGCGACGCTCCGTCCTTTTAAAAATGCCGCTCTGCGCTCTGTCAAAATCCGTCCGCTCACGCTCCACGCTCGCTCCCGCTCCACTCCGCTCATATGCTCTGGTTGGCACTAGTTTATTGTGGGATCTTGTTCTGTATAGGTTTGTGTTGGTGAACCTTTAGACTTCACGTATCGTTTTGTTGTTTTGTTGTTGGTAATACGTACTCATTAAAAGATGTATGCCTATCACGCTGCGCCTTGGTCCGGTTCTTATAACGATCGTGACAGAAGATCCCACCAAAGAAGGACCAAGCAGCGTGTTCAGGAGCAGACACCGGGAAAGGAACTGGAGAAGTTGGCGATGTCTCAGGTGGGCGAATGGTGGTCTTGGGAGGACATGTTCGCGGGCAAAGGGCCATGGGCAAAAGTTAAAGCCCTGGCGAGAGAGGAGGTACGGCGCCAACCGTGCCATCGTCGGACAGGCGAGAGGCAACCCCAATAAAAACATTTTTGGGGGGGGGCACACGGCATGGACGACGGGGCTGCTGGAGGCAGCTACAGGGCGAGTTTGTGGACTAGGAGAGGAGGCCACCAGGTTACGGGGGCCATTGGTCATGAGGGGGAAGGAGAGTGTAGAGGCACGACGAGAGGTACTGGGGTGTGTTACCAGTCCGGTCCGGCCCGTTCCTGATCCCCGCACAAGGCCAGTGGTGTGTGTTCCCAGTACGGTCCGGCCTGTTCCTGTCCCTCGCACCAAGCCTGTGGTTCGCGTCGCCAGCCCGGTCCGGCCTGTTCCTGTCCCTCGCACCAAGGCTGTGGTGCGCGTCGCCAGCCCGGTCCGGCCTGTTCCTGCTCCCCGCACCAAGCCTGTGGTGCGCGTCGCCAGCCCGGCCCGGCCTGTTCCTGCCCCTCGCACCAAGCATGTGGTGCGCGTCGCCAGCCCGGCCCGGCCTGTTCCTGCCCCTCGCACCAAGCCAGTGGTGCGCGTCGCCAGCCCGGCCCGGCCTGTTCCTGACCCTCGCACAAAGCCTGTGGTGCGCGTCGCCAGCCCGGCCCAGCCTGTTCCTGCTCCCCGCACCAAGCCAGTGGTGCGCGTCGCCAGCCCGGTCCGGCCTGTTCCTGCTCCCCGCACCAAGCCAGTGGTGCGCGTCGCCAGCCCGGTCCGGCCTGTTCCTGCTCCCCGCACCAACCCAGTGGTGCGCGTCGTCAGCCCGGTCCGGCCCGTTCCTGCTCCCCGCACCAAGCCAGTGGTGCGCGTCGTCAGCCCGGTCCGGCCCGTTCCTGCTCCCCGCACCAAGCCAGTGGTGCGCGTCGTCAGTCCGGCACAGCCCGTGCCTGTTCCACCGGTGCCTGGTCAGGCACCGGTCAGCTGCTCCACACCGGAGCCTAAGCAATCCGCTCCACCGGTGTCCAGTCCAGTTCCGGCCAGCGGGACCAGACCAGGGGCGCTACGGGGGGGTAGCGAGAGAGTGTTGGTCACGCCCGGAGCCGGATCCACCTCCGAGGCGGAATGCCCACCCGGCCCCTACCCTCTTGAGTTTGGTTGGCGCGGTCGCAGTCCGCGCCTTTGGGGGGGGGGGGGGGGGGGGGGGGGGGTACTGTCACGCCCTGGCTCTGGGGACTCTTTAATTTTGAGCCAGGGTGTGTAAGTGTCTATGTTGTATTTTCTATGTTTCGTTCTAGTTCGTGTTTTCTATGTTGGCCAGGGTGGTTCCCAATCAGAGGCAGCTGATTCTCGTTGTCTCTGATTGGGAACCATACTTAGGCAGCCGGTTGGCACTAGTTTATTGTGGGATCTTGTTCTGTATAGGTTTGTGTTGGTGAACCTTTAGACTTCACGTATCGTTTTGTTGTTTTGTTGTTGGTAATAAGTACTCATTAAAAGATGTACGCCTATCACGCTGCGCCTTGGTCCGGTTCTTATAACGATCGTGACACATTTCACTGTAATGTCTGCACCTGTTGTATTCGGCGCATGTGGCCAATAAAATGTGATTTGATTTGATTTGATTTGAAACATACATATTAGTACGGGGTGGTCATGGAAACACAGTTAACACATAGCGGTTTCCAGCTAAATAACAATCATTAAAGCTTGTTTTTGTCACTGGCAGCCCTATGCTCTCCAAGCAAGCACTTGATCAAGTAACTGGTATGTAGCTGTAAACACAAACACAAACACTCTTAAACACATACACAGACTTAATGGGTGGAAATGGCACCCTATTCTCTATGTGGCACACTACTTTTTATAGGGCTTTGGTTAAAGGCAGAGCACTATATAGGGGATAGGGTGCCATTTGGGACTTAACCCTGAAGTTTAATACAGGCTGTTTTTCCAGTCTGAAGATATAGTGGCTTGCGAAAGTATTCACCCCCCTTGGCATTTTTCCTATTTTGTTGCCTTACAACCTGGAATTAAAATTGATTTTTGGGGGGTTTGTATCATTTGATTTACACAACATGCCTACCACATTTGATTTACACAACATGCCTGGCTTGGTGCGGGGAGGACTTGTGGTCCTCTGTAGCTCAATTGGTAGAGCATGGCGCTTGTAACGCCAGGGTAGTGGGTTCGATCCCCGGGACCACCCATACGTAAAAATGTATGCGCACATGACTGTAAGTCGCTTTGGATAAAAGCGTCTGCTAAATGGCATATTATTTATATTATTACTTTGAAGATGCAAAATATGATTTCTTGCGAAACAAACAAGAAATATGTCACGCCCTGACTCAGGGGACGCTTATATGTTGAGTCAGGGTGTGTATATTCCTTGTTGTGTATGTTCTATGTTGGGTATTTCTATGTTGGTGTTCTATTATGTGTATTTCTATGTTGGCCGGTGTGGTTCCCAATCAGAGGCAGCTGTAGCTCGTTGTCTCTGATTGGGGACCATACTTAGGCAGCCTATTGGCACTAGTGGGTTGTGGGATCTTGTTCCAGTTAAGGTATGTTGTGTTGTGTTGCCTTCGACGTTTCGGTTCGGTTCGTTTGTTGTTTTGTCGTTGTGTTTAATATTTAATAAACATGTACGCATATCACGCTGCGCCTTGGTCTGACCCGTCGATGAACGAACGTGAAAAAATAAGACAAAAAAACTGAAAATTGAGCGTGCATAACTATTCACCCACCCAAAGTCAATACTTCTTAGAGCCACCTTTTGCATCAATTACAGCTGCAAGTCTCTTGGGGTATGTCTCTATAAGCTTGGCACATCTAGCCACTGGGATTTTTGCCCATTCTTCAAGGCAAAACTGTTCAGCTCCTTCAAGTTGGATGGGTTCCGCTGGTGTACAGCAATCTTTAAGTCATACCACACATTCTCAATTGCATTGAGGTCTGGGCTTTGACTAGGCCATTCCAAGACATTTAAATGTTTCCCCTTAAATCAAAATCAAATTTTATTTGTCACATGCGCCGAATACAACAGGTGTAGACCTTACAGTGAAATCCTTACATACAAGCCCTTAACCAACAATACAGTTTTAAGAAAGAATACCAAAATAAATACAAAAATATATATATATATATACTAATCACAAGAAAATACAATATAAACTAATACGAAATAAAAGTAACAAATAATTAAAGAGCAGCAGTAAAAATATCAATAGCGAGGCTATATACAGGGGGTAACGGTACCGAGTCAATGTGCGGGGGCACCGGTTAGTCGAGGTAATTGGGGTAATATGTAAATGTAGGTTGAGTTATTAAAGTGACTATGCATAGATAATAAACAAAGAGTACCAGCAGCGTAAAAGAGAGGTGGGGGGTAGAGAGGTGGGGGGTAATGCAAATAGTCTGGGTAATCATTTCATTAGATGTTCAGGAGTCTTATGGCTTGGGGGTAGAAGGTGTTTAGAAGTGACAAGTCGCTCCAGTACCGCTTGCCGTGCGGTAGCAGAGAGAACAGTCTATGACTAGGGTGGCTGGAGTCTGTGACAATTTTTAGGGCCTTCCTCTTACACCGCCTGGTATAGAGGTCCTGGATGGCAGGAAGCTTGGCCCCAGTAATTTACTGGGCCGTGCGCACCACCCTTTGTAGTGCCTTGCGGTCGGAGGCCGAGTAGTTGCCATACCAGGTAGTGATGCAACCAGTCAGGATGCTCTCGATGGTGCAGCTGTAGAACTTTTTGAGGATCTGAGGACCCACCCCTGAGGGGCCCCCGTGTTGAAGATCAGCGTGGCGGATGTGTTGTTACCTACCCTTACCACCTGGGGGAGGCCCGTCAAGAAGCCCAGGATCCAGTTGCAGAGGGAGGTGTTTAGTCCCAGGGTCAGTAGCTTAGTGATGAGCTTTGAGGGCACTGTGGTGTTGAACGCTGAGCTGTAGTCAATGAATAGCATTCTCACATAGGTGTTCCTTTTGTCCAGGTGTGAAAGGGCAGTGTGGAGCGCAATAGAGATTGCGTCATCTGTGGATCTGTTGGGGCAATATACAAATTGGAGTGGGTCTAGGGTTTCTGGGATAATGGTGTTGATGTGAGCCATGACCAGCCTTTCAAAATACCTCATAGCTACAGACGTGAGTGCTACGGGTCGGTAGTCATTTAGGTAGGTTACCTTAGTGTTCTTGGGCACAGGGACTATGGTGGTCTGGTTGAAACATGTTGGTATTACAGACTCAGACAGGGAGAGGTTGAAGATGTCAGTGAAGTCACTTGCCAGTTGGTCAGCGCATGCTCGGCGTACACGTTCTGGTAATCCGTCTGGCCCTGCGGCCTTGTGAATGTTGACCTGTTTAAAGGTCTTACTCACATCAGCTACGGAGAGCGTGATCACACAGTCATCCGGAAAGCTGATGCTCTCATGCATGTTTCAGTGTTACTTGCCTCGAAGCGAGCATAGAAGTAATTTAGCTCGTCTGGTAGGCTTGTTTCACTGGGCAGCTCACGGCTGTGCTTCCCTTTGTAGTCTGTAATAGTTTGCAAGCCCTGCCACATTCGACGAGCGTCGGAGCCGGTGTAGTACGATTCGATCTTAACCCTGTATTGACGCTTTGCCTGTTTGATGGTTCATCAGAGGGCATAGCGGGATTTCTTATAAGCTTCCGGGTTAGAGTCCCGCTCCTTGAAAGCGGCAGCTCTACCTTTTAGCTCAGTGCAGATGTTGCCTGTAATCCATGGCTTCTGGTTAGGGTATGTACGTACGGTCACTGTGGGGACGATGTCATCGGTGCACTTATTGATGAAGCCAGTGACTGATGTGGTGTACTCCTCAATGCCTTCGGAAGAATCCCTGAACATATTCCAGTCTGTGCTAGCAAAACAGTTCTGTAGCTTAGCATTTGCTTCATCTGACCACTTTTTTATTAACCGAGTCACTGGTGCTTCCTGCTTTAGTTTTTGCTTGTAAGCAGGAATCAGGAGGATATAATTATGGTCAGATTTTCCAAATGGAGGGTGAGGTAGAGCTTTGTATGTGTCTCTGTGTGTGGAGTAATGGTGGTCTAGAGTTTTTTTTCCCTCTGGCTGCACATTTAACATGCTGGTAGAAACAGAATTAAGTTTCCCTGCATTAAAGTCCCCGGCCACTAGGAGTGCCACCTCTGGATGAGCGTTTTCCTGTTTGCTTATGGCCGTATACAGTTAATTGAGTGCGGTCTACCTCAGGCGAGCAAAACCTGGAGACTTCCTTACATATCGTGCACCAGCTGTTGTTTACAAATATACATAGACCGCCATACCTTGTCTTACCAGAGGCTGCTGTTCTATCCTGCCGATACAGTGTATAACCTGCAAGCTGTATGTTATTCATGTCATCGTTCAGCCACGACTCGGTGAAACATAAGATATTACAGTTTTTAATGTCCGGTTGGTAGGATATTCGTGCCTGTAGTTCATCCATTTTATTATCAAGTGATTGTAAGATGGCCAATAGTATCGATGGCAAAGGCAGATTAGTCACTCGTTGCCGGCTCCTTACCAAGCACCAAGATCTCCTTCTGCGATATCTCCTTTTTTTTCTACTGCGAATTACGGGGATGAGAGCCCTGTCTGCTGTCTGGAGCAAATCCCTCTCGTCCGGCTCATAAAACAACATCCAGTTCAAGGTGAGTAATCGCTGTTCTGATGTCCAGAAGCTCTTTTCGGTCATAAGAGACGGTAGCAGCAACATTATGTACAAAATAAGTTAAAAACAATGCGAAAAAACACACAAAATAGCACGGTTGGTTAAGAGTCCAATAAACGGCAGCCATCCCTTCCACTCGAGTGTTGCTTTAGCAGTATGCTTAGAGTCATTGTCCTGCTGGAAGGTGAACCTCCATCCCAGTCTCAAATCTCTGGAAGACTGAAACAGGTTTCCCTCAAGAATTTCTCTGTATTTAGCGCCATCCATCATTCCTTCAATTCTGACCAGTTTCCCAGTCCCTGCCGATGAAAAACATCCCCACAGCATGATGCTGCCACCACCATGCTTCACTGTGGGGATGGTGTTCTCGGGGTGATGAGAGGTGTTGGGTTTGTACCAGACATAGCGTTTTCCTTGATGGCCAAAAAGCTCAATTTTAGTCTCATCTGACCAGAGTACCTTCTTCCATATGTTTGGGGAGTCTCCCACATGGCTTTTGGCGAACACCAAACGTGTTTGCTTATTTTTTTCTTTAAGCAATAGCTTTTTTCTGGACACTCTTCCATAAAGCCCAGCTCTGTGGAGTGTATGGCTTAAAGTGGTCCTATGGACAGATACTCCAATCTCCGCTGTGGAGCTTTGCAGCTCCTTCAGGGTTATCTTTGGTATTTTTGTTGCCTCTCTGATTAACGCCGTCCTTGCCTGATCTGTGAGTTTTGGTGGGTGGCCCTCTCTTGGCAGGTTTGTTGTGGTGCCATATTCTTTCAATTTTTTTATAATGGATTTAATGGTGCTCCGTGGGAAGTTCAATGTTTTGGATATTTCTTTATAACCCAACCCTGATCTGTACTTCTCCACAACTTTGTCCCTGACCTGTTTGGAGAGCTCCTTGGTCTTCATGGTGCCGCTTGCTTGGTGGTGCCCCTTGCTTAGTGGTGTTGCAGACTCTGGGGCCTTTCAGAACAGGTGTAAATATACTGAGATCATGTGAGAGATCATGTGACACTTAGATTGCACACAGGTGGACTTTATTTAACTAATTATGTGACTTCTGAAGGTAATTGATTGCACCAGATCTTATTTAAGGGCTTCATAGCAAAGGGGGTGGATACCTATGCACGCACCACTTTACCGTTATTCATTTTTTAGAATTTTTTGGAAAAGTTTTTTTATTTTTTTTAACTTCACCAATTTGGACTATGTTGTATATGTCCATTACATGAAATCCAAATAGAAATCCATTTAAATTACAGGTTGTAATGCAACAAAATAGGAAAAACGCCAAGGGGGATGAATACTTTTGCAAGGCACTGTAGCTCAAGTCGTCGTCGTCGGGTGAGGTTGTCTCTCTCTCTGGCGGGAGGTAAGCTTGGCTTATATGGCTTATATACATAGTTTAGGCTTTGTCGAGTAAAGCTTAAACTATGTATTTAGATTGTAGTTAGGTATTGTAGGTAGTTATCGTGGGTTGTTGTATGTAATTACTGTAGGTAGGTATTGTATTCGACTGAGCCCGGTGAAGCACGAAGCTAGCTAACCCACTACCTGGACTAGCTAGCGGGTAGCTACTGGTAACTATTAGCAACTGTGGATAGTTGTTTCACGCCTGAGAGTACCTGTAATTACGCCAGCTAGCTGCCTACAATAATTACATACAATAATGCCTACCATTCAGCTGTTTTTCTAACCTCATTGTCTGAAGCGTTAACATTAGGTAGTAAGTAGCTACTGTGCTCGAAATGTAGCTAGTATGTTGCTACCTGGATAGCTACTAAACAATAGCTGGAACGACCTAGCTAACTGACGCGAACTGGCTGAATCGATTCAGTGGCTAGCTTTGCACTTGGCTAGCTAACAGTAGCTGCTAGGGGTAAGTTATAACCTACATTTGTGTTTTGTTTTTACATACTGGTAGCCAGAGTCGTTCAAGGGAATTCGGGACATGGGTGACTAGTTAACGTTAGCTTGGCTCTCTCTGTGTGTTCGTGCCGTGGGAGGACAGGTTTCTTCGTTGGCAGAAAGCAATAGCTAGCTAGTATGCTAACTATTCTAGCTAACTTACTGGCTGAATAAGTTGACGACGGACTCGCTCATACTGTCGAGACTAACCCACAACGTTAGACACGGACACGAATTATCTTCTTGGCGTGTTGACACACTGGTGGTTTGTTGTGGCCGAGTATTGGTGCTAAACCGTGTTGTTGGAGTCCGGCATGCTGGTTGGCTGTGGCGTCATATGACTAGATGCCCTGGACGGTTTTCACGGAAGAATACTGTACCAAGTTAGCTAGCTGAATAAACTAAGTTAGTCTATTCCTAGAAAACATTGAACCGCTGTAGTTTACAACAATTATAGTTTCTGAGGTGGAAGTTGGGAGAGTTATATTTGGGTGTTTCAGTGAAACGTAAGTGAGGGAGGCCCCGCTCTCTCGCTTTCCCAGATGTTTAGTTCATTTCATTCCGATCTCCTTTGCATTATTGTAGCCATTTTCTGTAGCCTGTCAACTATGCCTCTGTCTATCCCTGTTCTCTCCTCTCCGCACAGGCTATACAAACACCTCACACCGCGTGGCTGCTGCCTCACTAACCTGGTGGTCCCTGCACGCACGACCCACGTGGAGTTCCTGGTCTCCGGCAGCCTCTGGAACTGCCGTTCTGCGGCCAACAAGGCAGAGTTCATCTCAGCCTATGCTACCCTCCAGTCCCTCGACTTCTTGGCGCTGACGGAAACATGGATTACCACTGAAAACACTGCTACTCCTGCTGCTCTCTCCTCGTCTGACCATGTGTTCTCGCATACCCCAAGAGCATCTGGTCAGCAAGGTGGTGGCACAGGAATCCTCATCTCTCCCAAGTGGACATTCTCTCTTTTTCCCCTGACCCATCTGTCTATCTCCTCATTTGAATTCCATGCTGTCACAGTCACTAGCCCATTCAAGCTTAACATCCTTGTCATTTATCGCCCTCCAGGTTCCCTTGGAGAGTTCATCAATGAGCTTGACGCCTTGATACGTTCCTTTCCTGAGGATGGCTCACCCCTCACAGTTCTGGGTGACTTCAACCTCCCTACGTCTACCTTTGACTCATTTCTCTCTGCCTCCTTCTTTCCACTCCTCTCCTCTTTTGACCTCACCCTCTCCCCGTCCCCCCCTACTCACAAGACAGGCAATACGCTTGACCTCATCTTTACTAGATGCTGTTCTTTTACTAATCTCACTGCAACTCCCCTCCATGTCTCCGACCACTACTTTGTAACCTTTTCTCTCTCGCTCTCCTCCAACACTACTCACTCTGCCCCTACTCAGATGGTAATGCGCCGTCGCAACCTTCGCTCTCTCTCTCCCGCTACTCTCTCCTCTTCCATCCTATCATCTATTCCCTCTGCTCAATCCTTCTCCCTCCAATCTCCTGAATCTGCATCCTCAATCCTCCTCTCCTCCCTTTCTGCATCCTTTGACTCTCTATGTCCCCTATCCTCCCGGCCGGCTCGGTCCTCCCCTCCTGCTCCGTGGCTTGACGACTCATTGCGAGCTCACAGAACAGGGCTCCGGGTAGCCTAGCGGAAATGGAGGAAAACTAGACTCCCTGTGGACCTGGCATCTTTTCACTCCCTCCTCTCTACATTTTCTTCATCTGTTTCTGCTGCTAAAGCCACATTCTACCGCTTTAAATTCCAAGCATCTGCCTCTAACCCTAGGAAGCTCTTTGCCACCTTCTCCTCCCTACTGAATCCTCCTCCCCCTTCCCCCCCATCCCTCTCTGTGGATGACTTCGTCAACCATTTTGAAAAGAAGGTTGACGACATCCGATCCTCGTTTGTTAAGTCAAATGACACTGCTGGTCCTGCTCACACTGCCCTACCCTATGCTTTGACTTCTTTCTCCCCTCTCTCTCCAGATGAAATCTTGCGACTTGTGACGGCCGGCCGCCCAACAACCTGCCCACTTGACCCTATCCCCTCCTCTCTTCTCTCCTATTCTCGCTATACACCAAGTCACTTGGCTCTGTCATATCCTCACATGGCCTCTCCTATCATTGCTACGCAGACGACACACAACTAATCTTCTCCTTTCCCCCTTCTGATAACCAGGTGGCGTATCGCATCTCTGCATGTCTGGCAGACATTTCAGTGTGGATGATGGATCACCACCTCAAGCTGAACCTCGGCAAGACGGAGCTGCTCTTCCTCCCGGGGAAGGACTGCCCGTTCCATGATCTCGCCATCACGGTTGACAACTCCGTTGTGTCCTCCTCCCAGAGTGCAAAGAGCCTTGGCGTGACCCTGGACAACACCCTGTCGTTCTCCGCTAACATCAAGACGGTGACCCGATCCTGTAGGTTCATGCTCTACAACATTCGGAGAGTACGACCCTGCCTTACACAGGAAGCGGCACAGGTCCTAATCCAGGCACTTGTCGTCTCCCGTCTGGATTACTGCAACTCGCTGTTGGCTGGGCTCCCTGCCTGTGCCATTAAACCCCTACAACTCATCCAGAATGCCGCAGCACGTCTGGTGTTCAACCTTCCCAAGTTCTCTCACGTCACCCCGCTCCTCCGCACACTCCACTGGCTTCCAGTTGAAGCTCGCATCTGCTACAAGACCATGGTGCTTGCCTACGGAGCTGTGAGGGGAACGGCACCTCCGTACCTTCAGGCTCTGATCAGTCCCTACACCCAAACGAGGGCATTGCGTTCATCCACCTCTGGCCTGCTGGCCCCCCTACCTCTGCGGAAGCACAGTTCCCGCTCAGCCCAGTCAAAATTGTTCGTTGCTCTGGCACCCCAATGGTGGAACAAGCTCCCTCACGACGCCAGGACAGCGGAGTCACTCACCACCTTCCGGAGACACTTGAAACCCCACCTCTTTAAGGAATACCTGGGATAGGATAAAGTAATCCTTCTACCCCCCCTTACCCCACCCCCCAAAAAACAAAAATAAAACAAAAAAAAACATATTGTAAAGTGGTTATCCCACTGGCTATAAGGTGAATGCACCAATTTGTAAGTCGCTCTGGATAAGAGCGTCTGCAAAATGACGTCAATGTAAACAAATTACAAATTTAAACCATTGATTTGAATCCGGTTGAAAAAGTAATATCAATAGTTAGAACTCCCAGTAAGTGAGAAGAGAGAGAGAAAAGAAAGAGAAAAAAAAATATATATATACAGAGAGAGAGAGAGTAAAAAAGAAACAGGAGGATAGGGAGTTGGGCGCAGCACAAGGCATTGTGGGAGAAAATTAGATTTTAATGTTATCTTTCCCTCAAAGAACAATGGTTGTTTCCCAAATGGCACCCTATTCCATATATAGTGAACTACTTTTGACCAGAGCCCTATGGGCCCTGATCAAAAGGATTGCACTATATAGGGAATAAGGTGCCATTGGGAAGTAGCCAGTTTAAACAGGGAGATTCTGTGTCAGGAGTGACTTCTCTATGGAAGTATGAATAGCCCCTGATGGAAATAACCTCACATTCACACAAAAGGTCACAGATAAGATAAAAGCGCTGATATACCAAATAAGAGAAAAAGAAGAGAAAATAATGAAATAGACTTGCTGGTCTATAATCAAAAACGATGTCTATGTCGGTTTGAGACTGTTCACCATGGCAACAGGTGATTGAAAGGAGGGTTTTCTCTTTTGTGATGATAAGCTTTATAAAGTGTATGTGTGTATGTGTGTGTGTGTGCGTGCATGCGTGCATGTCTGTGCACACGCAGGTGGGTGAGATGTGTGTGTGCATACTCTTGCATGTAAGTCTGTGTGTGTGTACATACGAAGCAGTCTGTATCCTTGGGTCCGGAGCATCCTCCTGCACACTCGCGATGGCAGCAGTTACTAACCCAGGGTCCAAAACAGCGACCGTCACACTGCTCAGCACACACTGTTTTAGTCACTGGAGAAAGACAACAGGAAAAGGACATCAGAGCACGATGTAACAGGTTGCTTTGATTAGAATCCAAACAAGGAAAGTCCACAATCAGAGTGCTTCTGGAAAAAATAGCAGCCATAAAGTTAAATCTATCATGATGACTGTTTTCCTGCTGAATGAAGTCACACATACTTTTTATGAAGCCTAGTCCTGGACGAAAAAGGCATTCTCAATGGGGATTCTCCATTGAACATGCTTTTCAGTCTATATGACTAGGCTTCATCTGTGTCCAGGAAACAGATCGATAGACTTCAGATAAAGCCATAGAGAGTTAAGCTAAGGCTATAGGGAGTTGAGCTGAGTAAAGAGCATTTTGGAGAGATACCCTGCTGTTAGACTGATGTTCATATGACAGCCTGCCAGTCTGTGGTGCTGTATGGAGCTGAGTTTCTATGTTTCCTGTCTGTTATTGACAGTGTGATTGAAATGGCTATCAGCTATCTCTCCTGAATGTGCTGCTTCCACCGCCAGCCCTGTTCTCATTCTCCTCTAGCTCCATTCCCCAGTCCTGTTCATGTCCAGCCATATGGGCTTGATGGGTTGCTGATGGACTGATGGGTATGCCTGTCTGTCTGTGTGTGTGTGTGTCCTATGCCTCTGCCTCACCACCCGCCTCACAAGTTGACAGCTACAGCTGAATACAGGGTGACGTTTAACAGATAAGCATTTCTTCCTCAGAGGCCGTGCTGATGCCCGAGCTGAGGTTTACCTTCCAGTATGTGTGTGTGAATGTTGGTGCGCATGCGTGGGTGGGTGCTTGCGCAATAACCAACACTTGCCTTTATACGTAGCTGTATGCCGTTGTGCCAATGCGTGTGGAATATGTCTTGCTGAGTAGAGCACAGCACTTATCAGCACTTTGTTGTGCTGGCCCTTTGGTGGTGATGGTGATACCTTGTCACAGTGAGACTGGCCTGTCTGGTCTGCCCATATTCCTCACCTCTTTTCCCTCCTCCCCGGCACATCCTCCTCCTGCCCTCCTGTACTCCTCTTCTCACTCAACCCCTCCCCTTCTTCTCCCCCTTGTCCTCCTCTCCTCACCTCACTAACGTATCATCAATGCATTACATTACGCCTGCCACATGCCTCTCGCCACCAAAAATACATTTTGTTAAACAAATGACTTCGTCAGGATGCGCCACACATGAACATTGACACACGAACGCACGCTCACACGCCACACAGCCATTGATCTATTTGCCTTTAAATATCCACTTAAAAATACCAGCCAGCCACTACAAATAAAAAGTAATCAATCTCATAAAGTATGCTGAATATCTTCAATTTGAACAGGCTGCTGACAGTGGCATCTGTCACAGCACTGCATCTTATATCACCGCTGCCTAGCTGTCTGTTTTTATGGAGCAGCAGAGGCCCATGTTTCTGGAGGGGCACAGTCTTAGGCTCGGTGGTGTTGGGGGAGAGAGTGTGCATGTGTGTGTGTGTGTGTGTGCGTCTGGCTGTTCTGTTGATCAGGGAGCCTGTTTAGGCACCTGCATGTCAGGAGATAATACAGCCAGCCAGCGGTAGATATTGATGAGGGCATTCTGTATTCAGTACTTGATGTGAGAGTGTTATACTGAGAGTCCTTTGTCTAGCAGTTTCTCACACAGCCCTATCAACGGGAAAGAATGAGGGGGGTGGAGTGAGAGAAGAGGGATGGAGGGAGAGGGAGAGGGATGGAGGGAGGAGGAGAGGGGTGGAAGGCAGAATTTATAGGGATTTAGGGATAAGGCTCGGATTGCGGGAGACGGATAAGGATGAAGGGAGACGGAATGGTCTTGCGGTATCACGGCAGGGAGTGCGGGCGCCGTCGCGGCTGGCGGGCGCCGGCTAGGGGATAGGCGGGATCACGGCGGCCTGTGGGCCTGGCTGGCTACGCGGCAGGGGTTTAGGGAGAACTGCCGGGCTTGAGGCAGCCGGATGGGCTTCCGGGTAGCAGGACAGGATTCGATTCGATGCTACAGGGATTGCCAGGGAGCAGGAGCCGGGCTGGCGGGAGATTATAGGGCTGTCTTGTGATGCGAGGGCTGTCGGTCGTGTACGCAGGAGAGGCTTGCACGGAGAAGTCGATTTATTTCGTCTAGACTGGATCAGGTATGGATGGTCGCACTTGCTCGTGCCCTTAAGTCGCCTTTCTCCGCTGTCCTCTTTCTTTCTTTCTCTCCTTCTCTTTCTTCTTCTTCTCTCTTCTGATTTTCTTTCTCCTTCCTTTCTGTTCTCCTTCTCTTATATTTTCTTTCTCTTCGCGTTCCTTTCCTACTTTCTCCTTCTTTTTTTTTCTTTCTCCTTCCTTTCTTCTTTTCCATTCTACTTCTTGCTTGCCTTCTCCTTCTCTTGCTTCCCCTTTCCTCCCTTTCCCTTATCGTCTTGTGCTCACCTTCTCGTCTTGTCGCTGTCTCTTCTCGTGCTTGTCAATTTCTCCGGAATAGGTTCTTCTGCTCGGCTCGTTCTTGTCGGTTCTTCCTTCTCTTTGCTTTCTTGTCTCCTCCCTTCTCTTGCTCCTTTCTCGTTCTCCCGTCTCTGTCTCTGCCTTCTCTCCGTATCTTCTGTCTTTTCTCCTTAACTCTTTCCTCCTTTCTCCTTCTCTTTCTTCTCCCTTCGCTTCTTCTGTATCTGGAAAAGTGTCTCTTCTCTTTCTTCTTTCTCCTTTCTCCTTCCCTCTTCTTACTTGCCTTGTCTGCCGGCTCGTTCTTTTGCTGGCTCCTGACACCTGTTCTTTGCTTTGCTCTTTCTCTGTCTTACCCTTTCCTGCCTGCTCTTCTTTTTCTAGTTCTCACACCTTTCTACTCTTGTCGCCTATTTTACCTTTATGCTCTGTCTTTCTTCTCTTTCTTCTCTCTCCTTCTCTCTCTGTCTCTTATGCATCCCACTGATACTTTATTAGTCCGTTCTCCTTATAGTTCTTTAGTTCTATCCTTCTCATCTTTTGGTTTGTTCCTACACAATTACATACTTTGTTTGCCTCATTTTCTCCTATTCTTCTTTTCATTCTATTACTCCTTCGTGTTTTAATTTTTATCTCTCTTCTCCTCTTTGTGGCGTTCCGCCTTCCTCTTTTATTTTTTTCTTCCTTCGCTCTTTTTTCTTCCCTCGTTCCCTCGTCCTTCCTTTCTTTCTAATGTACATTGATTAGTGATATAATATTAATTCTTCATTCATTTATAAGTAGATTTATTACTTGCATTTTTTCACGGCATATTATTTATTTCTTCTTTACTTCTAGTTCTTTTCGGTTCTTTTTCCTGTGAGTCAGGTTTCTTTCTTTCTCCTGCTATGTATTCATGCGCTGCATGTCTCTTTCTTTATTCTCCTTCTCTTTTTTTCTTTCTCCGTACTCTTTCTTTCTTTATACTTCTCTTTCTGGCTTCCTCTGCCTCTTGCTTTCCTTCGACTTCCATCTTTCTGTCTTTCCACTTCTCGTCTCTTGATTCATCTTTCCTACTTTCTTTCCGGATACTGTGACTTCAGGGATTGAGTGAGATACCCTCGGGTTGGCTTGATTGCTGGCTATTCCTGCCCTTGTTGAATGAAATATGAGCAGACTCAGGGATATAAGGGAGGGATGAGTGATGGACGATATAGTGCTGGATGGATGTCGTCCCACATAAATATGTGCAAAAATTATGGAGGGAATTCCATGGCAAAAAGAGAGCAAACACGCCTATCTTTTATCTTGTGAGGAGAGATGGACAGACTCCGTGCTGTTAACTAGTACACTTGTGAAGGAAGTTTCATCTGATTATCTTATGGAATCAAGCTGCAGAGCATCACATACAGCATGAGCCAAGACACTAACAGTGTACAATTACCACACAGAGATAAGAGAGAGAGATGGATAGAAAAGAGTGTGGAGATAGAGAGAGAGAGAGAGAGAGATAGATATCGAGAGAGAGAGAGAGCGAGAGAGCGCGAGAGGCGAGATGAGAGAGAGAAGAGGCTTCGCGCGCGCGCGCGCGCGCGCGCCGCCTCGCTTGCTGGACCCGGCTCGACCACGTCCCCTTCGCGCCCCCTTGCGGCGGATTGAGGGATAGACATAGATCATTAGAGAGAATAGGGGCAAATACCATGATAAATAGCTGGGAAAAGAGAGAGAAGACCCACAAGATGTAGAAAATGAAAGACATACAGCCTTGGACGAGAGAAGGATATCAGGGCTAGTCCCCATGTGGTGTGTACCTCCCTCCCGAGACATAGAATAACAATCTTCTTGGCTGACTGCTGCTGATTGGTAGGGTGTGTGGTGTTGGTCCATCTAATGTGCGTTACTTTTACTCAGCACAGCTGACCCCAGGTTAACCGTTACCTCTTACCACAAAGCTATCTTCAATCCTTGGCTCAAAGTTGAGGTACAGACGGTTTGTTGTTTAAAAACACAGTTTTGACTTAAAACAAGCCCGCCCAGGGCAGTCTTGGATGGGTAGCAGGGAAATCACACAGTTTGTTTACACGTCCTGAGGAGGCAAGGATTTAGAATCTGGCATTGTGGAGGAGGGCGGGATGGGGCATGAGCCGGAGGAAGGAAACGATGGGGAAAAGAGAGGAGAGAGACTAAGAGCGAGAGAGCAGATAGAGAGATACTGATAGACTAGATTGAGAGGCGCGATCCGCGAGCGAGATAGAGCATATCTCTAGATATAGGCGAGATACGAGAGAGAAGAGAGAGAGAGAAAAGAGTCTGTGGGAGGGCCGCAGGGTCATAGCTAATTAGCTTCCGAATTGTTAAAGTGCACTCCTGGCTGCCTGTCTGACCCTGGCAGTTTGTGGGTTAGAGGCAGGAGGGGAGAAAAGAAGGAGAATAGATCAGAGCGGAGCGAGGAGACTGAAGTGAGTGTACTCACAGGTCTTCTGTGTACACTGTTCCTCCTTTGGGCAGCCAGCGCGACCATTACACGGGAGACGTGACACTTCTGAACCTGTGGACGACCTGGTGGTAAAATCCATTCAATACTTTCCATAGGCATGATATTTTATCAAACACACACTTCCTATCTATACTCTTTTAACACCTGCAACGCTTCTATTGCTATGATAATTTCACATACTTGACACTGTGTCAACTCTACTGGGGTTTTGGTCCTTAATGCAACTGTCTAGAGTTACTACCGGGGTTGTTCTTATTAATGACTGCTGTAGGGGAGAGAGTCAGCAACAAACAGCTAACTAGAGCTGAAACTGCTGCTGGCTATATTAGCGCTAGCTGTGTTTTTGGGAGGCTTAATTGACTGCTTGGTAATTGGCAGAGTTAGGCTGGATGAGTGCTGAATGGCTTTTCCTCTGTCTCTGTTCTACTTCAGTTTGACAATTATATTTAAGGCTGACCGTCTCTCTTGACATCGTCTAGCTCCCGTTCTCTCTTTCTCCTCCTCTCCATCCCTCCCCTCACCACAGCCAGCCAGTCCTATCCCTCTCACTGATGGCCAGACATCCCAATTCAACGTCTATTCCCGTTTGTTCACCGTCACTCTCATTGAAATGATGGAGCAGAAACAACGATTGATTCAGCCAGTGTGTTGGCCAGTGGGC